GGTTCAGACTTCAGGGTCACTCCATCTATGGGAGACAGTTGAGAAGCCGGGGCTATCAGAGGGGCTCCTAGCAGTAAGACCAAGTTACAAACCTGGTGCATGAGATAGCTTGTAGGAGCCCATTCCCTAGGGTGAGATGTCTTACCCAGCTTAATGCATTGAAGGGGCTTGGTCCTGCCCCAACCTGTTGTGTCAGATTTTGTTGACTATACATAGACCCCTTACCCATGAGGAGGAGTAACCTAGGGGTGGTCTGGAGGGATGGTGGATGAAAGGAGGGGTGGGAGAGAAAACTATGAATGGATTGTAAAATGAAATTTAAAGAAATAAATCATTTAAAAAAGATACTTTTCATTCCTATGTTAGTTAATCGTGCAAGTTTCACTTGTTTGGTCCATGAGCTCACAGAGCTGACAAAGAGATTTCTTTTTTTTTTTTTAATTTTATTTAGTTAACATCTTTTCATGTACTTTACATACCAACTACATCCCCCCCCTCCACTCCCTTCACCCCACCCCCCTTCTATCTCCCTTACCATCCATCCACTGCTCTGTCTCCAGAAAGGTGCAGGCCTCTCATGGGCTTGAATAAAGAATGACACATAAATTAAGTGAGGACCTAGCTCCTTCCTCTGCATGAATGCTGGGCAAGTTAATCCAGCCTGGGAACAGGTTCAGCAAGACTTCTTAGTATTTATGAATGCTTGGCCTTTACCCTAGGCTTTTCCCCAGCTACAGTATAATTTCATTTAATCTGCTTTCATTCATCTAAAACCTGCCACATGGCTTTTTTTTTTTTTTAAACTTCTCCACCATCTTGCATGCCTACCTCGGTCTGCCTGGAGCTGGTATTTTTGTTCAGCTAGATCCCTCTTTTCTATTCTCTCCCTGGAATTCCCATTTGTCCTCCCCTGCCTAGCTATTGACCAAGTTTCCTTGGTAACGACAGATCTTCACAGTGTGCAAAAAGATCACTCCACACAGTATTGCTTTATCATTTTGAAGTACAGCTGATTTAATGCCCATTTTAATGCTGTAGTAAGGTTAAATCAGGACATATAGAACAAAACTGACCTCTGAGCCTAATAGTTATGTCAAAGTCTTGACTCACAGGCACGCATGTCATACTGTGGATCTGGAGGTGAACAAAAGACTGAGTCCCCATTGCTGTCTTAAACCAAAACAGTAGCCACACTGTTCTGGTGGAAGCTTCACCCCAGCCCCTGGCAACCACAGACACAAAGACTCTGGAATGTAATGATGAGTTTCCACCGAAGCCCCCTCCCCCATAGCCCTCCAAACCCTGCAGCATCTCAGAAAGCCCGCGAAATGATTACCCCTCCCCCAGAGATGCTCAAGACCACTCCCAGAGGGTATTCTAACTGCCTCTCAGAAAACCCGACTGGTGATTTTCTGGTCTCTCTTTCTCTTCTCCTCCATTGGGGGCTGGAAGGCCATCCAGGAGCTTTGTAAGTACTAAATGTGGGTCTTTTCTAATTTGGTTTGATTTGGATTGCTGCATTGGTGGAGAGGCTATTTGGGGTGTAGAAACATGTCAGGAACCACATTTTTATACATTGTTATTAAGTCTCCGATGCTGAAAGGTATCATTTCCTTATTCCTAAGCCTAATGTACCCTGCAAACCATGTTCCAATCAATGTGGAAGTTGTATGACCCCCATGATGTATGCTCACCGTGTGCCTTATACAAATAACCTGTGATGGTTGGTTTTTGCCTTAAGAAAATGATTATTGAACACCCGTTCTTTTTAATATCATCCATTTTCACAGCTAATTATCTCGACAGCTGTATTCTATGAACCCTAACGCTTCCACACAAAGGGACCACAAAAAGCAATGAGGGGCTACTCTCTCAAATGCGGACTTTGGGAGAGAAAGCCTCCTGGCCACTTCCTGGTGTTCCTGTAAAATTAAGGTTGCTTTAATTAGGCATTCCTGCAATTGGTTTTTCTCAGGCCAACAGCTCTCCAGCCCACCCTGATTCTTCCCATCTCTACTGCAGGCAGCCAGAATCGAGTACAGAAAGAATAAGTATCACCACCCAGGATTCCAGAAATCCCTTCGTTCCGACTTCTGGGAAATGTAGTCAGTGAGACTGTAGCATCACAGAGAACCGTCCTAGAGAGTCTTTTCTGGCTTTGGTCTGCACAGGAGCATCTTTTCCCCCAAAGTTGGGCGCGAGTCCTGCCCTCTGGATCGCCTGCTGCGTCTCTGACTTGGAGGTTGGTCCAGAGTGCAGCGCAGCCTGAGGCTCTGTGCCGGGTGCGGTTCCGTCTTGGAGAGAGCGGACCTGGGCTGGGTGGGAGGGCAGAGATGCTGCCTTGGAGGTGCTGTGCTGAACCCGCTGGGACGCGGGAGGTTGAGGATCAGGGCTGGGGAGAGGGCTATAGGGACTGTGCCCTGAATGATGGTTTCCTTAGGGCGTGCAACCCGAGTCGGCCTTGGGCTTCTGAGACAAAAGAGCTGCTTGGGAGCGCGGAGTAGATGATAGCTCAAGGTCCGGGACTGCAAGCTAATGATGGTCAGCTGAGGTGACCAGGACTGCAAGCTAATAATGGTTACCTGACTGCCTGCTGCTGAGGTGGAGCTGAGCGCTCACTGAGCAGCTTTGGTGGGGAAGCATGCCTCACTAGCTGAGCCATTCTCACCTGGATGCTGTCAGATTTCTCCATATGTTAGAGCAAGCGGGGTTTCTGACCCCTCCTGTACTCTGTCCTGCCTGGTGTAAGGGTCTTGAGGTTTGGTTGTGTTCGTTTTCTCTGTCAGTTAAAGAATTAAGAAAGGAAATACCCGAGGCCCAACGGTTCATGGGAGTAAAATTCTGAAACAGGCACAGGTCTGCCTAAATCAGCTGCTACAGAAAAGCATTGACTATGGCTGAGAGAACACAGGTACTGCAGGCCTTGGGGGAAAGGCCCACTGTAAAGCAGAAGTGAGGACTAGGGAAGCTGAACCCTGCTTTACCTTGAGGGCTGGGTTTTATTAACCCTTGAGAGATCCCCCCATTCCTAATATAGGGTAAACTAACTATAATAAAGACAGGATGTCTGCTTGGCTAACAATGACTGTGTCAACATCTCTTGGTCTGCCCTTGAGCTGTTGAGGTAGTCCATGAGCACGGTCCCTAGGAACAGGTGAAAAGTTCTCATGGCCTTGTTTTATGGTAACAGTTTTGTGCTGGGTCAGCAGGGTGAGGAGGAGCCACAGACCTGTATATATTCCTGTCATAAAGTAAACAGACCTGTGACAGAAAACAAACTCCAGTCTACTCTATTGCACAGCCTGTCATCTCTGCATTTGTGAGGGGGAGGCAGGACCCTCTGGTCCTCCCCTGCTGCATAGCAAATTCAAGGCCTAGGCTACCTGAGTCTGTGTCAGAAAACATTGAACATTCTTAAAAGAATCAACACATCTTTCCATCAGTAAACAAATGTCCCACAGCATAAACATATATAACTCACCTTTAAGTAATATTCCACAACACCATACCTTAACTAAGAAAGAGTATCCAAAGCTTAACCATGAGAGTATTATAAAATACCTCTTTATTACATAATTGAATGATACTTCATTGATTGATAAAAAAGGGAAAATGTGTGAGTATTCTCATAGGTCATTCTGGGACATTGCTCAGTAAAATATAATGAACATAAATTCTAACATTATGTAGATTTGTGTCCCCAGGCACATGATATCTGTTATTTTTTATATTGCTATGATAAAGACCTTGAAGAAAGACAGCTTGGAGAAGAAGGGGTTTATTGTAGACTACAACTTCAGATAACTGACCATCACTGAGGGAAGTCAAGGCTGTAACCTGAGGCAAGATGCCTTCCCAGAGTGGGTACCACCCATAGTGGGCTGTGGTGTCTCATATCAAACACTAATCAAAAAATGCTCTCAGGGAAGGACAGGAGAGTGCAGGAACTGGGATTGATATATAAAACAAGCTTGTTTCAAATTTAAATAAAAAATTATATATAAGAAAAAATGTTCTCTAAGCTTGGCTACAGGACAGTCTTAGACATTTTCTCTATCATGTTTCTCTCTTCTCAAATGACCCTAGCTAGTGTCAAGTTGACAGGAGAACTATCCAGCCCAATGCTCTTGGTATTGATATCATTACTGGTCTTAATTAAATTAAAATGGATTATCATTCATTGACCTTTGTTTCAGGAGATGCTGTCCTTTTGGGACGTGGCCATTGATTTCTCTCCAGAAGAGTGGGAATGCCTGGAGCCTGCTCAGTGGAATCTGTACAGGGATGTGATGTTGGAGAATTACAGCCACCTTGATTTCCTGGGTGAGGATCTCATCCACAGTGAATTCTTTTTTCACCATCAACATGTGGCTTCCTCATTTTGTATATTGTATCTCACGGGAACATTTCAACAATGAGTTTCATATGCTTCATTTTCATAAATATTAGAAAGATTTCTATATGAATCATTTTGGTGCATGAGAGAAAGCTCCATGGTTAAGAGCACTGACTGCTCTTGTAGAGGACAGGGGTTCAATTCTAGCACCCACTTAGCAGCTTACAACTGTCTGTAATCCCAAGATCTGACACCCTCACACAGATATACATGCAGGCAAAACAGCATGGCACATAAAAATAAAAAATAAATTAAGAATAGAAATCATTTCACTCTTTTTCTGTTTTTGTATTAACCTGTGTTGGATGTATGTTTCCTTCACTCTAGTGGGACTGTTAGAAATTCAGTGGCATGAGACATGGAGTAAACTTGTTAATGAAAGTCACAATTTATTTTTCATGTTTTCTGTCTTTATATGAAACTCAGAATCTGGATGTAATTAATTATTTTATGTACGGCAGTGATCCTGTCAGAAAACATGGAACTGATTGTCTGGAGTCATTTATTACATCATCTCTTTCCTTATGAGCCATGCATTGGAAGGCACATGTCAATTCCCAGTAGAAGAACACCTACACAATCTTGTTCCCTTTTCTATAAACAGGTCTTGCTGTCCCTAAGCCTCACCTGGTGACATTTCTGGAGCAAAGACAAGAGCCTCCAGGTGTGAACAGACAAGCAGGAGCCACCGAGCACCTAGGTGTGTATTAATGAGGGGTCAAGGTCAGAACTGAGGTCCAGATATCCAACAGAAAGGCAGGCTTTCCCATGTGCCTAGAAACATGGTTCTATGGGGATCATTCTTTAGGTCTCTCTTCATGGCTTTGTCGTCAAGGCATATCTCTCAGATGCTTATGATGGTTTAAGTCTCTTCAGCTTTGTATTTCCCCAACAGTGAGCTGTGCTTCTGTTTACAGTGACCTCCAAGGTTTTTCTTTTTGTTGAGTCTCCGCTGTAGTGTAAGACTCAGGGAGAGAACTCGGTGCTGGTCAGACCGAGAGTCATTTCTTTGCAGAGGTTGACAGCAGACTCGTTCCAGAAGGATCTCTACACCAAAGTGAGCATGATTGGGTTCATAAAGCCAAACCCACAATTCCATCACAGAGAGGCAGGCAGTGACAGAGCCTCAACAGTTTTAGTCCTGATCAGAACAATTTGGGTGTGGTGAGCAGTTGGATAAAACTCAGACAAACTGGAGTCACTTCGCATAGCTCATTGCCCACTCATCTGATTCAAAACATTAACATATTGTAGAAGGGGTTATATTGGGCATTAGACACATGAATTTAACAGACTGTTTCTTTTCAATACTTTTACCACCAGTGGGTACAGTAGGTCCTGACAATTAGACCTATGAAGAGTAGGACAGGATGACCTACAAGGCCTTATATTGTTGATTCAGGGATGCCCATGAAATGGATATGGGTACAGTGATAGTGTGCCTCTCTGTCATCGCAGTTTGTCAGTGTAGGCCTTTTAGTGATTTAGTGCTCCATGCTTTTGTTTGTTTTTTTTCTTTGTTTTGTTTTGGTTTCACATTAATACGTTCATTGTATATTAGGTCTAACTTTATTTGAATATATTTCCAGTCACAACTTGTTAGAAAAAGTATAAACTTTTATGTATAGGCCCAATGTTCTCAGATACACCAGAGCTAGTAATGTTTTGTTTCAGCTCAGGGTAGCCAGTGTGGCTAGTCCTATAGGAAGCATTATGACTAATATGACCATAAGTCCAATTGGATGAAGAGACCTTATGGTCCCTTTTTTCCACCTGAATCTGTCTTTACTGAGTATCTATAACATTTTCTGTCTGCATGAACAAAATTCCAAGATCACCATGCAGAGCTCTGGTGGGACTTGGGCTAGCTGCCAGAATATGCATTTATGTACTGTAACCCACATATAGACATGAGTCTTGGAAGTGTGTTTTCATCCATTTTTGTGCTGAGAAACTTTTAAAGCTTTCTCAAGTCTTATGTGGATGAAAGTGTACTTACATTAAAATGCCATTTGTAGGCGAAGTTTTCCTATCTAGGCAGCCGTGCAGACTTAATATGAATTTTAAGTGTGTGGCCAATAGCTTAGGCTCATTTTTAGCTAGTTTTTACATTTCTGATCTGCCTTCTGCTTCATGGCAGGACCTTCTTTCAACACAGCACATTCATCTTGTTTCTCACTGCAGCTGCTGGGGACATCTCTCACTCTGCCTTTTTTCCCAGCATTCTCTGGGCCCAGAAAATCCTGCTTAGCCATTAACAATGACAGTGATGCAGTTTAATATCGTACCAAAAAAGAGGGTTCCACAGCAGAGGAGCTGGTCCCAGATGTCTCTGGAAGGTGACTAGAATGACTGCCCTGGGTAAACTTTCACAGTCCACCTCACCTCCTCCTCAGGCCATCTATACTGATGTGGTGTCCACATATGGCACTTGTGACTTAATTTCAGTACTGCCCAGAGTTGACCCTGTTGTGTGTACTGGCCCTGTGGTTGAGCCTCTGTCATGTCTTATCTACCACTTTGCTGAGGATTCTATACACAATCAGGCATTGACATCTCAGCCCTGGGATTGGCTTTGTTAAGAGGAGGAAATTCAAAGCCAGGGGACAGGGCATTGCCGTTTGAACTAGAGTGTAGTTCCCATACCAGTTGGGTGGCAGGCATAGGTACAAGGTTCCTCTCAGTACCCTCAACTGTCAGTTCAGGAAACATGGAGTGCTGACAAGTTGCAGTGAGTGTCTCCATTACTTGACACATTTAGAGTGTGGTGAAGAATCTAAGATCCTCCTCGGTGTGAGGGAGTCCACCCCCTGTCTGGTGGGACATGAAGAGTGATTCATCTTCCCTACAGATAAGGATTAGGATTTCCTGCTCTGGTTTCCAGACCAGAGGGAGACATGAGCAGCAGATACTGACACTCCTATTTCCCATGCATCCCTATGCTGGGTTGACAATAGAATGCCATTTAGTCTGCTAGGTCTATGTCCCAACTGAGGGCAAGCATAGTAATTGATTGTGGATGTGTCCTGCCATGCAAGTGTAGTGTAGATTTGCTTACATTCAAGCATCCAGTTTCTATAACCAGTGTTGTGGATTTTCTTTGTTATTTTTGTTGTTATTGTTGTGTTTTTCTTTGTATAGTCCCGGTTCTCTAGAATTGGCCTTATAAACCAGGCTGGTACTAAACTCAAAAAGATCTTTCTGCCTCTGCTCCTGAGTACTGGGATTAAAGCTGTGTCACCACTCCTGAGCCAATAACCAATTACTTTAAGTACTCCTGATTTTAACATTATTCCATATTAACGAAAAGAAAGTTGAACTTGAATTTGTTTCAGTTACCTGCTTTGGGCTTACCTTTGATGACATGTACAGAGTATGAATAATGGAAGGTAGAAAATTTTCTTTCCCCCTAATATTTTGTCTATAAATGAATTATATTTATATTTAGCATGACTATAAACACAACTTTGGGAACTAAGTATTTTTCATTATTCATTATGTGACTCATTAACTATTTTGTCTTAATTACCTTTGTTGTAACATCTTACAACAAAATAGTGACTCTCATCATATTAGGACTTAATAAATGAAAGTAATTTATCTCTTAAAAATTTCACACTCTAAAATTACTTTTTTTTTGAGCTAAAATCTTTTTTAGCAAACAAACTTTAAAGATAAACACAGTCCGTGGTGGACTAGGAACTTTAACCTCCTGATCCCTTTATACTGTTCTTTATAAAATCTAACCCAGTCCTGCAGACCTTCTCCTTTCAGTGGCTGTATCATCATAAGGAATACCATAAGGGAGAGCTCGGGGCCGGGGGTGAAAAGCTTGAAGAGGAATAGACTTGGGCTTGCCCAGGCCCACTAATAGAGCCTCAGAAAAGGTGGCACATGGCTCATGGAGCACAGGCAGGGGACAGCAGATCCAGGAGCCTTGAATCCAAGTGATCCCAGAGAGTGACTGATTGTTCCACTAGGGCATCAGGAAAGCAACAGAAAATGTCACAGAGCCATAGCTGGAGGGTACTATGTATTCACTCATTCAGCATCCATAGGAATGAAGGAAGACCTGGGTTTAACTAAAAATTTATCCATTGCTTCTCCAGTCCACACCTTTACTTTCAGAAGGAGACACAGGGAGGGAGTTCTTGTCAGGGATTTTTTTCCCCCTCCAGAATCTGGACCAGACATAAACATCCACCCACACCTACCCCACTGGAGGACCAGAAGGACAAGGTTGGGTTTGTTTGTAAATGCTTTGGTCCTTCCAACACTCTCTCATCCTACTTTGATTGGGTTTATAAAGGCAAGTCCACAATTCCATCATACCACACACAAAACAGGGGCGTGAAGGCTAAAACTTTTAGTTCCATTGATTCATTTTTGTTGTAAAACAATGGAGGTTCCAAAGGTGCCAGGAAGGCTGCATGAAAACATTTTCTCAGCAGGATTGGTTGGTTGGGGGAGCAGTTGAATAAAACTCAGGCAAAATCGAGTCATTTTGAGCAGTTCACCCACTGACTCTAGTGTTTTCTATACATTTGGAAAGTTGCACACATTTCTAAATAACTAGGTGTGAAACCATTGTAAGAAGGTAACTTCATACATGAGTTTCTTTCATGTCACTTATATTCATGTTGACAATAGTGACATCAGCAGGGTTCTTTGCCTTTGATGAAGATACCTTCTAAAGTTTTTCTTTATCACACACTCAATAATAAGGATTTAAAATACATACCCTATGTGTGTACATATTCAAAGATTAAAACTGTCTGTACCTAGGAGTGTACATTTAATAGCTCACCATTGAGCTTTCAAAAATTTGTGGTTTTAAAATGCATGCTCCTAGGTATGGCTTAGATAGTGAGTCCCAGGACAGTAAGGTCTACACAGAGAATCCTTGTCTTCAATAAGCAAAAACAAAAAAGGAAATAAGTAATTTTGCCCATTTATTCAGCGATAAATATGTTATCTCAGCAAAATTTGTGTAATGCACAGGTGAATCTGAAGGTTTTTGCTTGTTTGTTTTGGGTTTTGGAGACAAGGCTTCTTGTGTAGCTTTGGAGCCTGTCCTGGAACTTGCTTTATAGACCAGGCTAGCCTGGAACTCACAAGAGATCCACCTGCCTTGGTCTCCCAAGTGCTGGAATCAAAGGCCTGCGCCACCACATACCGGCTGTTTTTGTTTGTTTGTTTTTGTTTTTAATCACGACCCAGTATTTTCAGGTGTATATTTTCTTATCATCCAAATGAAACATAAACAAACCAATGTCATGAAATTTTGAGCTATAAATTTACCCTTTTTGTGGACCATCCTCTTGTTGTACAGCATATCCTTTGTAACTTCCAAAATAAAACTAAGATGTGGAGGATGAAAATTTTCTATTGAGATGATACCTCAAAATCACACAATCACAATTCACTTCCTCTTTCTAGGCTTGGTTACTTTATAATCATGGGTGCCTAGATATATAAAATCTCTATTCATTTAGTGGGTTTATTTCTGTTAATAAAATGCCCTTACAACTTACTTCACTATTAAACTTTAATATGCCATGATGTCTGTGTTCTATTTAGTTCTGCCCTTTTCCTAGTGGAAGTATATATCATTTCTACCTACAATATTTTATCATTTATGCTTAGTGCCTATAGTTTTGAAATGTACTGTAGTTTCTCACTGATGCTTCAATAGTATGAGTAAATCTTTCCTTTTTAAAAGATTAAGTATGGAGAATATTTCCTAGCTTTCGTTCATATCTCAACTTTTGCTCAACAGGAACAACATCCAGTGATCATAATGTTTCCAACAAGACCATTGATTATAACTCATTAAGTATTCAACCGCAGAGAATTTATACAAGGGAGAAACCATACAAGTGCAAAGAATGTGGTAAGGCCCTTAGTTCTTATCAAACACTTTCTGTACACCAGAGACTTCATACTGGAGAGAAACCCTACCAGTGTAAAGAATGTCATAAGGCCTTCAATACGCGCTCATCACTTTTTATACACGAGAAAAACCATACTGATGAAAAAACATACAAGTGTGAAGAATGTGGCAAATTATTTTACTATCCCTCAATGTTGAAGCAACATCAAAGAATCCATTCAGCAGAGAAACCCTACAAGTGTGAAGAATGTGGCAAATTATTTTACTGTTCTTCAATGCTGAAGCAACATCAAAGAATTCATTCAGGAGAGAAACCCTACCAGTGCAAAGAATGTCATAAGGCCTTCAATACGCACTCATCACTTTTTATACACCAAAAAATTCATACTGATGAAAAAAACTACAAGTGTGAAGAGTGTGGCAAATCATTTTACTATCCTTCAATGCTGAAGCAACATCAAATAATTCATTCAGGAGAGAAACCCTACAAGTGTTCAGAATGTGGCAAAAGGTTTTCACGCTTTAAATACCTTCAGGAACATCAGGCAGTCCACACTGGAGAGAAACCCTACAAGTGTGAAGAGTGTGGCAAATGTTTTCCCTCATCTTCAGGCCTTAAGCAACATAAAATCAGAATTCATTCTCAAGACAATCTCTAAAAGTGTAGGGAATGTGGCAAAGACTATTACTCTTTGTATCCTCACTCAGCAGATGATACAGTGTAGTGGGCATTTGCTGGCCCTTGACCTTGGGCTGTCTGGCTCCATAGAGGCCGTGCTTCTTGTCTAGCTATGTGTCCTTTTGTGAGGAAGGAGGAGGGCGTGGGTTACACTCTCGGGTGGTGAAGACGCTTCAGGTGGGTGTGAAGCAGCCTGTGATCAGTCCCCAGCTTTCCAAGGATTCTGCGACTGGATTTTCTATATCCTGTATTCATGAGTGTATTTTCACCCATTTCATAACAATCAGCAATACCCCTTAAATAGATGCACATGGATTTCTCATTACAAGTGGCCCCTATATGGTCAGATCCCAAAATGCCGGTGTGGCTTTCCAGGCTCTGGCTGCTATAGCACGTCCCAAGTCCTGCATTTGGATCCCCCAGATACAGGATCCTCACCAGACAGCTCCATCCACTGCAGCTAGGCTCAACCCCCTGCATGCTCCATTAGCCATTGCAGGTTCGCTGTAGGAGCTGCTAGATCGCACTGGCCCCCTCCTGGCTACCTGCTACAGGAATTGGCAGCTACAAGCGGTCCTAGAGGCTGTGTGCTAGGTACATTGAGAGCTGTGGGTCCAGCCTGACCCAGTTTTTTTATTCTGATGAAAAGGAAAGATAATAGAGTTTTGACAACAATAGTCCCTAGATTTTTTTATTTTTTCTGTCCCATACCAAGTACCTCTTCTGATAGGAGACAGAAACTCTTAATATTTTCTTTTGACAACATGCTTGAATGAAAAGAAGGAGAGAGCCACACTCCAACTCCAAAGGCAGCTTTGATTTACTACAGAGTAGGGACTACACGTTTTCTGAGAAGTAAAGAGATAGAGATGTTTAGTTAGTGAGATGTTTACCCTATAGAGAATATCAATATAGGTTAGCATAATAAAGTAGATACTGTACCTACTTGTAAACTTATTCAACATGTCAGCTTTAGATAATTTGCATTGGAATGGATTTTTGTATATTGTTACAAATGTAAAATTCATTCTCTATTCCTGTTTAAATTTATATATTGTTAGAAATTCAAAACTGTATTTGTCATATTGTAGATGTTTCTACTAATTTAAAATACATTTTTTATAACTTGATAAAAGTATAAATTACACCTGTCTTGCTGTATGTATGTTATACTTCTGTTTAGGATATTTTGTATATTGAGGGTGTTATTATCATATTGCCACTATACATTTCTACCTCTGATCAAGATATTTTGTATACTGTAGGAAATTTGAAGTCACTATCTTTATACTGTACATCTGTTTACAGATTATTTTTTATATATGAATCCTTAGTTTTTAAGCTATTTAGGTTGGTAAGAAATACAGGTCACCCATGCTTATTGTACTTATATTCACGTTAGGTTTTCCAAATAACAGAAATGAATGTTGAGCATGGATAAGTAATCTTCAAACATTTCATAAACCCAAGGAATATGACATTTAAATGTTTTTGTTGTTGTTTTTCAAGACAGGGTTTCTCTGTATTGCCTGGCCTGGAACTTGCTCTGTATACCAGGCTCGCCTCAAACTCACAGAGATCCATTTGCTTCTGCCTCCAGAGTGCTGGGATTAAAGGAGCACCACCAATGCCCTGCTGGCATTTAGATGTTTTAATAACTTAGAATTCTGTTCACATGAAACACGATTGTTCCTGGCAGCACCCATCTACTCCCAAGATGATGTTGGGCATGGAAGATGCTCCACATGGAATTTGCCTTCTTCTTGGCATAATGGCCTGTTGGGTAAAACTGCCCTTGCCTTGGCTGCAGACCGTAAGCATGGTGTCCATTCTGGATGAGGAAGATGCAAGTAAAAGCAACTGCTGAACTTTGCCAAGTCAGGGTCTTTCAAAGTTTCCACTTCTGAAAATGGTCTGTCACATATTCTAGGCCTGTATCCAAAAATGGATGTCCCAATGTCGAAGTTAAACATTGTGTGACTGTTCAGCGAGCAAGCTGTCTGTCATTTCCTGCATTTTTCAGAAGTCGCCTGCTTGCACTTCCTGTTTACTCAGGTAATAATATTATTTTCCTCCTCAGGTCTTTGATGGTCACAGTTACAATCCTGTCATATCTCAGCTAAGGACCTATCAGGTGCTAGACACAGATTCTTCAGGATAGGGCAACTATTGGAACAATTTACGTAATTTGGTCTGGACATTTAGTATGTGTTTCTTACATGACACTGTTCTTGTTGGTTGTTGTTCCATTTTTGTTTATGTTTTTACCCATTCTTTCTCCTGGACAATAGTTGATAATCACTGTTGTTGTATATGGTTTGTATTAGATTTAGAATCTTCTTATTTAGACAAAAAGGGGAAGTACAGTGGGTATTCGCTCTGCCCATGACCTTGGACTGTCTGGCCCCATAGAGGCTGTGCTTCTTGTCTAGCTATGTGACCTCTTGTGAGGAAGGAGGAGAGTGTGGGTCACACTCTCTTTGGTGGTGAAGACCTGGTCAGGTGGGCTTGAAACAGCATGTGATCTGTCCCCAGCTTTCCAAGGACTTTGCAACTGGATTTTCCATGTCCTGTATTCATGAGTGTATTTCCCTTTTCATATCTTAATACATCATAATCTTGTAAGCACTGTGGCATAAGCTATTGTCTTCTGAGTATCAGAGTCCAAGGGGACATAGAGAATGGGTTGCCTTTTCTAGTAAGAGATGAAGGTTGTTGAGAAATTTAAGTACTTGTCTCTTACAGCTCTCTTCTCCCAAGGTACGTACAACAATATGGGAATTGTTTCAAGTAAGAATGAAATGAAAGAACAAATAAGAAAGCTTTTAAAACAACAAGGAACAGAAGTTAAAGCTGCAGACACCATAGAGAAAGTTAGTCCTTGGTTTCTGACAGGGGGAGGACTTAATGTTCCTCCTGATTGGGATCAAGTGAAATCAGACCTTCAGAAGAAGCTACATAAAGAGGGTACTGACAACATTCCATAAAGAGGGTCTTGACAACATTCCGATAGCCACCTTCTCTTTGTGGAGGTTAGTCAAAGATGCTTTACTAACAGACACGGTTAAAGTGAAAAAACAACTAGAGACAACCAAGGAGGCTTTTAGAGAGGTCCAAGAGGAGGAACCTAGATGAAAAGTAACAATTAGTCAGACCCCCCCCCAAGTAAAGAAAATGAAACAAAAAGGTTAACATCTTCTGAGTCCAGGGCTTGGAGGAGGAAACTTTATTAAAGGAAGGTGAAGAACTCTGCCATAGGCTGCGGGCTTTGTCATAAAAAAAACTCATAGGGGACATAGTCATGAGGGTCTTTCTTCAGATAAGGGAGATGAGGAAATAACAACTGTTAAAAACAAATGCTGCTGGATTAATTCAATTTATATATTTTAAAAATGCTTTGACTCCAAAATTTAAGTCCAAGGATGGGTTACGGGAGAAAAGAATTTCTATTTTTGTTTCCACAGAAAATGAAAAGCTGTGGATTTCTTCAGACTAATGTGGTTTGATCAAGCCAGACCCCCTGAAACAGTGTCCCAGGTGATCCAACTTTCAAAACAGCTGGGACAAGGCAGCCTTGCAGACCACTACAGCCAGGATTTCTGCATCTTCTTAGGATCCCCATGACAGCACCCCCTACCAGCAGGAAGCAGTTTGGAAAGAACAACGCCCAAATTCCCAAATATTGTTTACAGAGAAAAGTGACTGAGAAAAAGGGGTCAAATTGGTAAAATTTCATGTCCCATATGGGGGAATGGGTACAGCACTGGTCGGGGTCTATCGCGTTATCCCTACTGGGGTCCTGGGTATTGGTGCATGCATCTGGATTCTGTAACAAGTACAATAGACAGGCAAGTGTCACCTGACAGGCACTCATGGCCTTGGCAGTGTAACCTGAATCAGCCTAAGTGTGACTATAGTTGCTGGAGAAGCGATAACCAATGACGGGCAACTCCTAGAGGGATCAATGCCGCCTAAGACAGGAAATGATAAGAGCATTTCCCAATGACGGGTAAGGTAATTGTTCCTCAGGTGACCTAAGACAGGAATTGTTTCATTTAAAACAATAAAAAGGGAGGAACTGTTGGGAAATTTAAGTACTTGTCCCTTACAGTTCTCTTCTCCCCGCCCAGATGTAGAACTCTCGTGCAAACACGGTTGAGTAAACAAGGTTGCTTTCAAAACTTACCGGTGTGCAGTGCAGGTGTGCCTTGACCCCAGGTGTGGGTGCATGACTTCCTCCTATGCTTAGCCCATCCCCTGGCATGGGTATATAAGCTCATTACTCTCTGTAATAAACAATGGCAGCAGCTTCTTAACTTATCATGGTGGTCTGTTAAGTGTTTCAATCCTGACACCCTCTGCCAAGCTCGGTACTCTGGCTGTGCAGGCACCGCAAATGTGAGGTCTTAGAGGCTGCCAGGGTAGAGATTATGGTGTGTGGTAAGGTGTCTGATTGTCAGATTCCTAACATTGTCACATAGGAACCCTTTCCAAACCAAAGGATAATGAACACAACACATCCAACTTCTGCAGAGGGAATTCCAGCATGGATATTCCAGCATAGAATTTCAGATGTCATCACACAGCTGTTTGACCCAGGAGCAGAGTCAATTCACTTTGCAGAGGAGCAGGGCACATAATCATGAGCACATAGCACACCTGGTGTGGAATACACACCTGGATTTGTGAAAAACAAACAAGGTAACATTGTTAAGATTCTAGTAGAGCCCTCCAAAACTTGAAATATTTGCACAGGTTAACGGTTGAGAGTTTCATGGAAGTTATGGACAGGTAGCAAATGCTGAGATGATTATTGAGTTATTTGTATGTAAACGTCAGAGAACTGAACTTTAACCTTGTTCAGTGAGTATACTGTCTCTGTGTTGTAGACAGAAATTTGTGTCCTGCCTGGTCCTGCAGCTCTTTAGTTCCAAATAAACATACAGAACCTTATATTAATTATAAACTGTTTGGCCTATAGCTCAGGCTTCTTATTGGCTAGCTCTCTCTTAATTATTAACCCATTTCTATTAATCTATGAATCTCCACATGGTCTTGGCTTACATAGAATGTCTGGGAATACATTCTTTCCTGGTAGCTACATGCCCCTCCCCGCCACCAGCCCACCAATTCCCTTTCTCTATCCCTGTCTGGAGATCCTGCTTGGCTAAACCCTGCCTGTACATTGGCTAAAGTAGCTTTATTCATCAACCAATAAGAGAAACATATATTCACAGCATACAGAAGGACATGCCCCATCAGGACATTATAAATTTAATTCTTACCTGATAATTGTTCTTACTGCATACAGTTTTATTGTGTTAAGAGTTAAAACTTTTTTAAAAAAATTTATACAAAAAGGGAGAAATGTAGAATATTCCTTTAAACTGTGTGAAGATGCATCACTGTGACTGGTTTAATAAAAAGCTAAATGGCCAACAGCTAGGCAGGTTATATAAGCAGAACTTCTGGACAGAGAGAGTGCTGGTAAAAGATGGAGTATCCAGTCTGACATGAAATGACAATGGAGATGAGGTTATAAGCACATCAAAGAACACAGAGTTTAAAATACGGCTTAATTTAAGTTATGAGCTAGTTAGCAACAGGCCTAAGGTGTGGCCGAGCTTTCATAATAAGTCTCCATGTAAGTTTTTGTGACCTGGTGGCCCTAAGGTAAAAGTCCATCTACAGAAAGCTTGGAGACCTATTAGAAAGAGCTGGCATTAGGAACCACTATAGCTTCTCCAACTGGAGAGCTACTAGCTCGGGACCCTCCAGCATAGTAAAAGTGGGCCCACACCACAAGGCCACTGTGAGTAGGGGCCTAGCCTCCCTGGCTGGTTAGGCTACTGGATGATTAGGGTTTCAAAAGGATGAAGACATGCAGAATGGATGCTCCCCTACTGCTAACATGGCAGCTCCTGGTTAAGAGCCCTCTGCAGCCACCACAGGTGGTCCTTTCTGGCCTCCCTCACTCAGGATGTGAGCACAACCAAGAATATTCCTTTAAACTGTGTGAAGATGCATCACTGTGACTGGTTTAATAAAAAGCTAAATGGCCAACAGCTAGGCAGGTTATATAAGCAGAACTTCTGGACAGAGAGAGTTTTCAGTCTGGTTATCTTGCATTGGGTTCCTTTAAGGTAAGTGGAGACTTAATAAAGGTTCATCAAAGTCATGTGACCTCATGAGTAGAAGTGTCTGAATGTCTTGTCTGAGACAAGTAATAGCATACTGGGAATTTTTCAGCAATAGGAGCTGTTATCAGGACGACATGATGGATAGTGAGTTTCAAGAGAGTGTCAAGTGTGCTAAAACTGAAAGGCCACTGGGCCTTGGGCTGAACAAATATTTTGTAAGTTTGGGGCAGTTTAGGTTCCATCTGAACCTGAGAGATTATAGTAAGAGAAGAGGCAGCACATTCTGGATGAGCTTGGCAATTGAGAGACATCTAGTGCCACTCTGTGTACACTGGAGTTAGAACAAGTTAAGTTACTCTGTGTACACTGGAGTTAGAACATGTTAAGTTACTCTGTGTACACTGGAGTTAGAACATGTTAACTCCTGGACTTCCCCCACACCCACTAAGTTACCTTACACACCGAAGAGGCACAATTGTCATGTGACCCAGTTGTGTGACTAAATTTTTGTTAGGCTGGTCTCTTATGTTTGGCTAAGGAAATGATAGTTTTGTCTTTAAACAAAGCAGACGCCGACATGTTACAGGGGACTACATGTCAAGTGACAGCCTCATGTATTACAGCGATCCATACACAGATACCCCAGCTGAGAGGATTTCACCAAGAAATGACTGATATGGCAGAAAGTGGGAGACAGTGTGGAGCCTACAGAACAATGTATTTCTAAGTAACAGGAGAAGCAATGGAGAGAGTGCACAGAGAAATTAACACTGCAAACGAGATGACCAGAGTGAAGGGGCTGATATGGAAAATTGCTTGTCCTATAGACATGAAGACATGGTTGATAGACAGCAGGATCCATATGAATATGGGATAAGGAAACATAAATGGAATCAGGATGAAGGGACCTGAGTCATTAAAGTACTGCCTCCTGTGGAGATTGATCTCTGGGGAATATACAGACTCCTATCCTTCAGGTACATGGACCATCTTCCCAGGCATGATAAGGAAGATAAATAAGTATACCTCTATCTCATTGACAGGACACCTATTTCTGATGAGATCACCACAATATAGATGACTTTCAAACTCAGTTACCCAGAATGCATGGATTGTTTCGTTGATGAGATCTCAAGATATCCAGGAGAAAAACTTCTCTTAGGAGACTTCTGTTGTAGCTTACTGAGGTCAGAAGACCTTCCCTTTTTTATAAATGTAATATTTTTATTTTTTAAATTTCCTGTTACATTTCACCCAAACTTGTCCCTTTCCTCACTCCCTCCTTGTTCCCCTCAACCCACCCAACATACACTTCTACAATTAACCCAAGAAGATAGGGACTTTAGCAGAATCTTTGCCGTGTCCATCATTAGACACTGATCTGAGGTGAGTATACATTCTTTCTCTTCTCCATTGGAAAATTACAGAATAGAGTGTCTTTTTTGTTTGCTGTCAGGGGACACATTAGTCATTTGTGGCTCATGGTTTCATTGTGTAAAAGTCCTTTGATAGCGAGCATAGCATTGGGTAGGCAGGCATGATCCTCAAACAGGAGCAGAGAGCTTACATCTTGATCCCCAACCTCAAAGCCTACCCTGAGTGACACAGGATTGTGTTAAGTGCAAACACTCTAATCCTCCCTAAACAGTTCCTAAAAACTGAGCCCAAGAATTTTATTGTATGAATCTATAGGTGCAATTTCATTCTAAATCACAGTGACTTTAAAGTTACAACAATATGAAATCAGTTGTACTTCTCAGAGATTAACTCCAGTGTGTGTGGGGGGGAATCCCTGGCACTTTGTACAGAGCCCACAGTGATTTTCTATGAACTAACAGCAAATCCATAGAAGTCTCTATCTTGTGGAGGTACAATTTCATTTAAAAGGTGAAGATCACTGTAGGGGCTTCATGCTCAAAACTTCACTTCTAAGAAAGTTTTTCCAGGGTTAGCAACGTGTAGGTCAACACTGAGCTTCACAGCACTTATAGAGAGTACAGCTTCACCGTATAACTAGTCAGATGTCCAGTGTCCCTCCTAACAGTCCCTGTGGGGTCACATTTCATGGAACACGCAGGTGATAGCTAAGTGAAATTGGAACCTCACCATACACTCATAGCAGAAATATAGAAAACTCTACACTGGGGCTGTCTGTGCTTCAGGCCTGAGTCTGTGATCCAGGACCAGTGTTCCCTCACTTGGGAGGTAAGCATGAGCTCCTAGCCCACCTGGTGGTGAATGTGGACCTGAGTTTGTGAACAACCATGGGGACCCTGGTAAAATTCTAGTAGAGCTCTCATGCAAACTAGATAGCTTACATAGAATAACAGTTGAAAGTTTTCAAGGGACAGAAGGAAGGGTGGAAAAATCCGAAGATGGATTATAGGAGGTCTTTGCGAGTAAAAGTCAGAGAGTTGGACATTTAACTTTGTTCAGCGACTGTACCATCTCTGTGTCCCTCAACAATCTTCTACATTGTAGGATGCCCAAGTTCACACAATACTGGTTTACAAGCTGTGGAATGACATCCAAGTATGGTTCACACAGAGTGTCAATATAGAGGAACAAGGAGCAAGGAGGTTTTTGGTTTTTGTTTGTTTGTTTGTTTTTTGTTTTTTCTTAGATACAAGGTCTCTTTAAGTTTTCCAATCCAGCTTTTCATCCCTGGTCCATTTGTCACACAACCGAGAAGCAGCTAGGAGCATGGTTAGACACACCACGGCTGGTTTCAGAAATCATCTTTAAAAGACACGTCTCACTCCCAAATTAATGTGCTGCGTCGTTATTTTAAAGTAAAGCTGACTCAACGTGATGTTTAGATGCTCTTGTAAGATTAAAATGACAATATGCGGGCCAGAAAACTTACAAGGCTAATATTTCTGTCAGTGTCATGAGTCACTTTCACAATTTCGTGTTGTGGATCAGGAGGCGAACACCAGCCTCTCTGCCTAAGGTTGCAATGCTGACTCTTCTCCTTCCTCCCTTATCTACTGCAGGGAGCCAAATACAGTTCAGAGCATTAGAAATCTCTCTACCTGGGTTCCGGGATTTCTTTTGCACAGACTTCTGGGAAATGTAGTCCGTGCGACTGTGACATCACAGGGAGCCTTCCAGGAAATCCTAATCCGGGTTTTGTTCTGTGGAAGTGCGTCTTCCTCAAAGTTGGGCGCAAGTCCTGCCCTGCTGGATCTCCTGCTGCGTGTCTGACTTGGAGGTTGGTCCAGGGTGCAGCGCAGCCTGAGGCTCTGTGCCGGGTGCGGGTCCGTCTTGGAGGGAGCGGACCTGGGCTGGGTGGGAGGGCAGAGAAGCTGCCTTGGAGGTGCTGTGCTGAACAGGCTGGGACGCGGGAGTTTGCAGGTCAGGGCTGAGGAGAGGGTGATAGGGACTGCGCCCTGAGTGATGGTTTCCTTAGGACGTGCAGCCCGAGTCCGTCTTGGGCTTCTGGGACAGGAGAGCTGCCTGGGAGCGCGGAGTAGATGATAGCTCAAGGTCCAGGACTACAAGCTAATGATGGTCAGCTGAGGTGACCAGGACTGCAAGCTAATGATGGTCAGCTGACTGCCTGCTCCTGAGGTGGAGCTGGGCGCTCACTGAGCAGCTGAGCCGTTCTCAAGTGGAAGCTGTCAGATTCCTCAGGATCTTAGAGCAAAGGGGGTGTATGACCCCTCCTGTACTCTGTCCTGCCTGGTGTAAGGTTCCCGAGGACTTATTGTGTTCGTTTTCTCTGCTGGTTAAAGAATTAAGAGAGGAAAAATGTGAGGCAAAGCAAAGGTCTCAGGTGGGAAATACTGGAAAACAACAGGCAGGTCTGCCAGACTCAGCTGCTACAGAAAAGCGTTGACTAGGGCTGGGAGAGCAAACTGGAGAAGCTGACCCCAAGCCTCACCTTGAGGGCTGGGTAGTCTTAAAATTTTTAGAGGTCCTCCATCCCTAATGTAGAGTGAACCACAATGGTTCTGTGAACATGTCTTTTTCTGGCCTTGAGCTGTTGAGGTAGTCCCTGAGCAGGGTCCCTAGGAACAGGTGAAAAGTTCTCATGGCCTTATTTTAGAGTGCCAACCTTTTGTTTCAGATCAATAGGGGAGGAGAACCCACAGACCTGTGTATATTCCTGCCATAAAGTAAACAGACCTGGATAGAAAAGAAACTCCAGTCTACTCTATTGCACACCCTGTCATCTCTGCATTTATGAGGGGGAGGCAGGACCGGTCCTCTCTTGATTTGTAGCCAATTCAAAGGCCTAGCCTACCAGAGTCTGTGTCAGAAAACAAACATACTTCTGTCCCCGTCATAGTGACCTCCATAGTCATTATCAAATGCAGTGTCATAATTTGAGTTGAAAGGTGTGTGTGGTTCCATTGGCCAACTCTTCCCAACCTGCCCTCCATTGTTCTCTGCTTTGCAGTTTGTATATGAAATTAAGTCAGATCTATGAGAGTGCATGTCCCAAATGTTTATTGGATGCACTCCACTTACTGTTGCTTTAAGAAGACTCAGAAACAATATATAGACTATTAAAATCCACAAACACATCTAGACATCTAATGTAAAAGGCAAAGTTTGTGATGTTTTGAAATTCACAGTATAATTATTTAATTCATGTCTCTCATATTTTTAGTCTTCCATATTTTTCATGGCTCATTCCACTTGTGAGTCTTATAATCTTAAGTTGTGAGGGTTTAAAACTAAAACTGATGACTCTTTCTTTCCCCCAGGTATATAATCATAGAGTTCGGACAGAGTCCTGGGTGCGATGCCTTCATGATGTGTGTAGTGTGTATTTTAAGCACTATGTCATTTATTCAGTACATGGGCTGCTGTGATTGGAGGGTCACCTAAGAACTGCTAAGAAAGAGAGAAGTAGTCTTCCCCAGAATGAGCCCACTTATTATTCGTCTAGTAACAAGTGGCCAGTCCTCAAAACATATATATAGGCAACCCTGAACAGAATTGGCCATTCATATTCACACACACACACACACACAGTAAAAATTAGAGTAGACTACATCATATATTCAACATGGACTGTTGGAGGTCATGAGAGAAGTTACAATGAGGAGATAGAAGAGAAAATGGTTTACTTATAGTATAATTCATTAGTCTTTCAGAGGAAATAAAATCTTGTCAATTGTGACAATATTGGTGATGCTGGAAATTATTTTCAAGCAGATAAAACTAATTAACACATGATTTCATTAATATTTTTTAAAGATTTATTTATTTATTATGTATATAGTATTCTGCCTGCATGTATTTCTGCAGGCCAGAAGAGGGCACCAGATCTCATTATGGATGGTTGTGAGCCACATGTGGCTGCTGGGAACTGAACTCAGGACCTCTGAAAGAGCAGCCAGTTCTCTTAACCTCTGAGCCATCTCTCCAGCCCCCTCATTGATATCTTAAATGCAATTAATTGTAACTCACAGATGTAATGGTTGTTCCCATTGTCCAGTGACATCAGCAAATCACGGCTTGTGGATGCTCTACAGACGGGGCATGCTGGCAACAGTGTAGTAGGGGGAGAAGTCCCAGTACTGTTGCCCTGAATACTGGATGCGTGTAAGCATTATGAAGTGTGCTTTTCAGAAGCCTGGAAGTTTGTGTTTGAGGAGGTGACCGTACATACCATAACTGAGAAAGACAGTCCAAACGTTACCTATGAAATTATTACAAAATAATGCATTAATACACCTGTGGTTGATAATTTTTTAATAAAAAAGCAAAATAAAGTATGACTACTCCCATAGGTCATTCTGCCCCTTTATTTGATAAGATATTAACAACATAAATTCTTAATTTAAAAAATGTGAAAGGTGAAAATAGCATCAGCAGTTGTATCCCTCAGCTACAACACACTGATGTTCACATGTGTATGTGTAAAACATGCCTTAGGAATATCATTAAAACATCAATTGATGCCTGTCAGAGAAAGGGTAGAAAAGGAAAATAACGAATAGATTTAGTGATGTCCATTCTATCTTAAATTCTCTGTTGTCAGTCCTTTTCTTGCAGTTTTTAAAACGTGTATTCAAATACTTAGCCTGTGAGTTCTCCCTTTGTTACTTTTTTATTCTATCTTTTACCTGCTCAACCCCATGTCTCTTTATACCATTACTTAACTCTGCAGAAACCCAGACACCATCCAGCGCCACTGCATCAAAATCTGCATTTTCATTGCATTTCACATTCGTGATTATGCATATTAAGTGTTGAAAAGTATGTTCTCTCTCACTATGATTTTCTTCTGTGAGAAATGTATATGTGTGTGGTGTATAATAGCATATGGCACCAAAGAATGTTCTTTTGTGGATGCATTCATTTTACATTTCATCTGTCTTAAATGGATCATGTCCAATGGGGCTTATAAGATATTTTGCCTTGTCTTTCCTTGAAAATGAATGTTTGTGATCTAACAAATAAAGCTTGCCTGAAGACCAGAGTACAGAGCTCAGCCGCTAGTTAGCCATAGAGGCCAGGCCTGAGCTACACGAGACTGATCCAGTCTAAAAAGAACTAGAGCCAGGCTCACACCTTTAATCCCAGCACTAGGAAAGTGGAGACAGAAAGGGATATGGCTGGGTAAAGAGAGGAATATAAAGAAGGAGGAGACAGGATCTCAGTGCAATCAGTCTGAGGATTTGTGGAGACAGGATCTTGCCTACTCTGTTCTGAGGATTCAGTAGAAGTAAAAGGTCTCTCTAGTGGCTGACTCATTTACTTCTCTGATCTTTCAGCATTTACCCCAATATCTGACTTTGGGTTTTATTATTATTATTATTATTATTATTATTATTATTATTATTATTAAGATCAGTTAGAATTTGTGCTACAGATGAGTCCATTGTGAGATCATGTGACCACTTCAGACATGACTGAGGAATATTACTCACCTATGTCAAAAACATTTGTAGCTCTCTTTCATCCTGGGCAAAATCTAGACTTGTGTCCACAGGCACACATGCCTCTGTTAGAGTTTCTATTGCAATGATAAAGACCATGGCGAATGACAACTTGGAGAAGAAAGTGTTTTGCTATGGAATGATTCTCATGTATACTGTAAAAATTTGTCACTTGAATTGGTTTAGTAAAACGCTGATTGGCCAGTAGCCAGACAGGAAGTATTGGTGAGCAACCAAACTAAAGGATGATGGGAAGGAGAAGGGCAGAGTCTGCGGAGTCTGCCAGCAGACACAGACAGAGCAGGAGATTAATGGTGCCTTGTTAGTAAAGGTACTGCCATGTGACAGAGGGTAAATACGTAATATGGGTTAACTTAAAATGTAAGAGCTAGTTAGTAATAAGCCTGAGCTATCAGCTGATCATTTATAATTCATATTCAGACTCTGAGTTGATTATTTGGGGCTGGGCAATCAGGACTGGAAATGTCCATTTACAGGGTTCATTTTAAACTACAACTTCAGGTAACTGTCCATCTCTGAGGGTCATCAAGGCAAGAGACTGAGACAAGAGCTGGAGTAGAAGCCACAGAAGAACACTGCTCAGTGACTTGCACAGCCTGCTTTCCTATACCATGAGGACTACCTGCCCTGGACAGCCAACCACCCACAATAGGCTGTGTTATTTCATATCAATCACTAATTAAGAAAATGCCCCCAATGGCTACAGGGCAGTCTTAGAGAGACAATTTCTCTTTTATGTTTCTTATCAAATGGCCAGTGTAAGTTGACAGAACTATCCATCCCAAAGCATCTTAGTATCTGTATTATAATTAATGCCTTTAATTAATTAAAGGTTGGTCTGTATTTCAGGAAATGCTGTCGTTCTGGGACGTGGCCATTGATTTCTCTCCAGAAGAGTGGGAATGTCTGGAGCCTGCTCAGTGGAATCTGTATAGGGATGTGATGTTGGAGAATTACAGCCACCTTGATTTCCTGGGTGAGGATCTCATCCACAGTGAATTCTTATTTCACCATCAGCATGTGGCTTCCTCACTTTGTACTGTTTCTCATGGGAACATTTCAACAGCCAGTTTCATATCTTTCATTTTAAGAAAAATTAGAGAGCTTTCTCCGTAGATAAAACAACCCAATGTTTGAACTGTCAGTGTTGAATGTGTGTTTCATCCAGCAGTCATTCTAGTGGGACTGTTAGAGATGCAATAGCATGAGGCAGGGAGCCCGCCTGTTAACAAAGTGTTTCGCAATTCAGTTTTAATGTTTTCCCTTTAAACGATACTCAGAATCTGGATGTTGTAAATTCCTTTCTGTACTGTAGTGGTCCTGTGGGAAAACATCTAAGGAACTGATTGTCTGCAGTCATTTATTACAACATTTCTTTTCCTATAAACAATGTACTGGATGGGACGTGTCAATTCCCGGTGGAAGAACACCTAAATAATCTTCCCTTTTCCTACAAACAGGTCTTGCTGTCTCTAAGCCATTCCTGGTGACATTTCTGGAGCAAAGACAAGGACCTTGGGATGTGAAGATACAAACAGAAGCCCCTGTGCTTCCAGGTGGGTAGGAAAGAGGGTTTCAGGGACAGAGTTGAGGTCCAAATATCCAACAAAAAGGCATGCTTTCGAATATATATTAAAACCTATGTTGTTGTGGAGATAACTCCTTGGGTCTCTCCGTTTTTTGTTGTCAAAGGATGTCTCTCAGATGTTTATGATGTTTGAAGTCTCTTAAACTTTGTAATTCCCCAGTGGTAAGCTGTGTATTTCCAGAGACTTCCAAGGTTTTTCTTTCTGTTGAGTCGACATTGTAATATAAGAAATGCCTGGAAGTCTGTACACTTTTCTCCAGATCACAGTGCGAAGCCACTGTTACACAATAGGTTCACACATAAGTTTCTTCTGCATCACACTCGCGTTAATGAGTGTTATCCCATCCAAGTACTTTGTGAATGATGGAAGTTTTCTAAATTTTTCCCTCAATAATAAGGAGTTAAAATGCATGTCATGTGGATATATATTCGAAGATTAATGCCTGCAACTAGGAGGACTTGTCTAATAGCTTATCAAGAAGCTTTCAGAATTTAATAGGTTTGAGTTTTTTTTTTTTTTTTTTTTTGTTTGTTTGGTTTTTTTTTTTTTTTTGTACTTTGGAATTTGCTATGCTTTATTGTTATTTAGAAATGAGCATTGCCTATAATCACATGTTTTATGTACCATATATACCTTGGTGGGTGGATAAAACACAACAGTACAGTATGAGATACAAACACCTAAGTGCTCTGGTTCTGTACTTTTCTTTTCATGGGGAAGCATGGGCCTTCCATTTCTATGCCTTGCTCATTGCCTTTCTCCATTCAGTGCTCGATGGTCATTTAATCTTGTAAATGAAGGAATCTCAGAAATAGGTAATTTTATCACCAGGCCTGGTGCCCTACTGCATAATACCAGCTCTTGGGAGGCAGAGGTAGGTAAATCTCTGAGTTCAAGGCCAACCTCATCCACACAGCAATTTCTAGGATAGCCAAGGTTACACAGAGAAACCCTGTCTCAAAAAACCAAAAACAAATAAGTCATTTTGTTACCTGTTCATTGACAAAATCCTCAGGGAAATTTCTGTTATTCACCAATGAACCTGAAGTTTTTTTTTTTTTTGTTTTATAATGACATGATATCTTTCAGGTATGTGTTTTCTAATCATCAATAATAAAACATACTGTTCTAAATCCTCAGGCTATGTTATCTACTCTTGCTATGGACAGTCTACTTGGTATGCAATATATCTTTTGTATCTCCCAAAATGAAATACTTAAGATTACAATGGTATATTTTGATGTTGGTTCAATATCACATAATCACAATTAACTTACTCTTTTCTAGACTTGGCTGCTTTATAATTTCATGGATGTTCAGCCATTTAACATCTGTATTGTTTAATGGGCTTATTTCTATTAGTGAAATGCCCTTTCAAGTTATTTAGCTATATAACTTTGGATAACATGGCATCACATCTATGCCCTCCTCGGTTGTGCTCTCATTACAGTAGAAGTATAGATTGTTCCATCTTCTCTACTTGGTAAATTATGCTCAGTGTATATAAGTGTTGAAATACACTATAGTATTTCATTGATGCTTTAATATGTATGAGTAAATGACTCCAAAGATTAGCCTTATAAGTTCAAAGAACTTTTCCTACCTTTTCTTCATATCTCAATTTTTGCCCAACAGGAATGATACCCAATGATTGTAACAATTATAGCAAGGCCACTGATTATAAATCACTCCTTATTCAACACCAGAGAATTCATACAGGGGAGAAACCATACAAATGTGAAGAATGTGGTAAGGCCCTTAGTTCTCATAAAGCACTTTCCATACACCAGAGACTTCACACTGGAGAAAAACCCTATCAGTGTAAAGAATGTCATAAGGCCTTCAATACACGATCATCACTTTTCATACACCAGAAAAATCATACTGATGAAAAAATATACAAGTGTGAAGAATGTGGCAAATCATTTTACTATCCCTCAATGCTGAAGCAACATCAGAGAATTCATTCTGGAGAGAAACCCTACAAGTGTGAAGAATGTGGCAAATCCTTTTGCTATCCTTCATTCCTTAAGCAACATCAAAGAATTCATTGTGGTGAAAATCCCTACAAGTATGAAGAGTGTGACAAAAGATTTTCCTTTTCTGCAAGCCTTCAGGAACATAAAAAAGTTCATACTGGAGAGGAACCATACAAGTGTGAAGAATGTCACAAAGCCTTTCGTTTTCACTCAGCTCTTAGGATACACAAGACAGTTCATACTGGAGAGAAACCCTACAAGTGTGAAGTGTGTGGCAAATGTTTTTCCTCATCTTCATGCCTCAGACGACATCAAACAATCCACTCTGAAGACAACCCTTACAAGTGTGAAGTGTGTGGCAGATGTTTTTGCTCATCTTCATCCCTTAGACGACATCAAACGTTCCATTCTGAAGACAACCCCTATAAGTGTGTAGAATGTGGCAAAAGATTTTCCTGTTCTGCAAGCCTTCAGGAACATCAAACAATTCATACTGGAGAGAAACCGTACAAGTGTGAAGAATGTCACAAAGCCTTTCGGTATCACTCAGCTCTTAGGAGACACAAGAGAGTTCATACTAGAGAGAAATCCTACCAGTGTGAAGAGTGTGGAAAATGTTTTTCCTCATCTTCGTGCCTTGAACGACATCAAGCAATTCACACTGAAGGTAATCCCTACAAATGTGTGGAGTGTGGCAAAGCCTTTGTTAATCTTTATAGCCTTACTCGACACATGATAGTTCACACAGGAGAGAAATCCTACAAATGTCAGAAAAAGTTTACTTCTTCAGACCTTAAGACACATCAAATGATTTATTCTGAATAAAACTGAGTATGTGGAATATGGTAGAAATCTTTGCTAATCATTCAAATCTTAATCCAGCTCAAATGAACCCATAGTGGAGATTATTAAGTTAATTATTTGGAATATCAACAGGATATCTAACTTCCAACAGCACAAAAGTTAAGAATGTCTTTGTTGTAACTTCCTCACCAGTTTGTTCAAGCAGTGTGTTTGAAACTTGCCTTGATTGACGAGTTTCTTCTGTAATTAAAAATGTTCCATGAAAGTTTTACATTGTTATAACTTGATCCTGTGGGAGCCCTGTATCTGTGATCTGGGCTATGGTAGAGTTACCATTATTTTTCTCTGTGGTGTCACCTAAACACCTATAATCACATCTCCCTTGGGTGTGTAAGAATCTCCATAGAATCATTTCTCACCAAGTTGGACTTTGGTGAAATAGTCTGCATTGGTACCAATCTGGGGTAAATGGGCATCTGTGCTTATCTCCCAAGAAAATGCTAATAGAATACATCTTTAGTCATATTTGAGTACAGAATAAAGAATCCCTTACATTTTTAAAGTTCAGAACAGCATTTTTCATATGTATCCAAGTGCAAGCCAGTTGCACTGACTCAGCAGAAGGGATGCATTTGATTAGTAGATATGTGATAATCAAGTATGAGACATTGTAGGGACAGATCTTACTTTACTGTTGATACAGATCTGAAAGTCATCTCAATCTCAAGTTTACTAATTTGCAATAAACTGTTAACTTGGGGTAATTAACACCTAAACATTAACAGTCATTGACTTATAGATGATTAAATGTCTCTAATGTGTCCAGAATTGTGTTTCTAGTCATGCTAAGTACAAATTATATTTATTTACAGAGATGAGATGGGAAGGAGAATCGAATTATATCTCTCACTCTATAGTTCTCTGTATATGCTGTTGAAGTACAGCCTAAATCACATACCTCATGACAAGTTTAAACTTAATTTGTTTAATATGACATAATTAAAAACCAAGTCTAATTATACTTTTAAAAAATCCTGGTTTGGAAAATAGTGTGTTAGTCCTAAAGGTGTTAATTTCACAATACTCTTAGATGACAGGGCTCCCCCCAGGCACAAGGAGCACCTTTTCCTCTCAGATGGGACACAGACCCTATGAGAGTAAGTTACATGTTCACCATGTGACATCATAAGGATATAAGGGGGGAAAATCTGCCGAATGTCTGCTGCTCCTGTCCTGCTATACCTGCTGTAATGACCAGGTCCTGCTTAATTAACTGGTTGTTAAACTTTGTCAAATGAGAGGGAAAAAATTCTAAGGGCCCAGTTCCTGCCCCTTCATAAAAATCAAAGATTTGAAAGTAATGAACAGAAGTAGAGCATGAAGTAACTCAGGCCCTGTCAGGATACCCTGATTATACTGCACATCCCCTGGAGCCGCCACAGGCAAATGCATTTGTAATGTTATCCATACACAAAGCACAGTTGTTTCCTATAATGGGAAAGAAAGAAACATGAACAAGAGTAACCAGTCTTGCTGTGTCAGAAACCAAGGCAGACCACAGGCGTAAGGCAAAGTAATCTCAAGGACAGAGGGAATATCCTATCACAGTTAGAGGAAGCAGGCCTGAGGACCTTAGAAAGAGAAGGCATTAGAACCCAGTATAGTTTAACCGGAGAGTCACACAGCTCAGGGGCCCTCTAACAACAACAAAAAACGGATCCCACACCCCACAGCCACAGTGAGTTGGGTTGGGGCCTGGCCTCCTTGCTGGTTAGGTTACTGGATGATTAGGGTTTCAGAAGGATAAAAAGGTACAGAGTGGATGCTCCCCTAAGGCCAGTGTGGCAGCTCCAGCTCAGGAGCCCCCTGGAGTCACCACAGGCGGTCCTTTCTGGCCTCCCTCACTTCAGGATGTGAGCACAGCAAAGAAGCCCAGTTTTCAGTCTGTGCATCTTGCATTAGGTTCCTTTAAGGTAGCTGGAGACTTAATAAAGATCCATCAAAGCCTTGTGACCTGGTGAATAGAAACATCCGAGACAACTACTTGCATGTTGGCAACTCTCAGTCTAAAGGGTCATAGAGAATGGGTTGCCTTTCCTAGACAGATGAAAGTGAAACTCCAAGGCTGCCAGGTAGAGGTTATGGTGCTGAGTCAATAAGGTTGTTCGACACTTCTGCTGTCTTTGAATCTTAGAAGTCGGCATTTCTGTCTAGTGATTTTGAGAAACCGAGGTAAGTTCAAGGCACATGGTCTGACTTTGAAAACACTGTCACACAGGAAGAATTTCAGTATCAGAGCCGGCAAAGGAGACTGGAAGAGACAGATCAAAGCTCCGCAGAGGGAATGCCAATAATCTACAGTGGGTCAGCGGTCATTGCACACACCTGTTTGAGACAGGCGCCTTGCCCTCCGGTTGGGATGGGAGCAGGCAGGTAAGAATGAACTAGGAACAGTGTTTATGTACCCGAGTTTGTAAAATCCAGGTGGAGGTTGTTAAAATTCTAGCAGGGCTCCCACTAAAGCTGAAAGTTTTTCAAGGGACTTACGGATTGGTGGGAAAATCCTGTGATGGAGTATGGGAGGTCTTTACAAATAAATACTAGGGAGTTGGACTTTTAACTTTGTTCAATGCTATTTGTATGCTCTCTGTGTCCCTGACCAACTTACTTCAGTATGACGGATCCAAAGTTCACACAAAAACTCGTTTCCAAGTTGTGAACTCTGATCTATATATAGCTCACACAGAACAAGGGCTATTTATTTCCAGTATTGGAGTATTTAGACAAAGTCTACATTAGAGTCAAATTCGTTAACGTAGGCTAACTACCAGAATAAAAACACTAGCGAGCAGGATACAAATTCAAGAACACGAGGGAAAACAAACAAACAAACAATCAATAAATCATACACCCGACTTCCGGGAAGGTGCCTGCAAAGAGTTCTGGGAAATGTAGTCCATGTGACTGTGAAAGCACAGGAGAGGTCCAGGGAATTGCAATTCGTTTTTTTTGTACAGGTGCGTCTTCCCCAAAGTTGGGCGAGAGTCCTGCCCTGCTGGATCTCCTGCTGTGTCCCTGACTTGGAGGTTGGTGCAAGGTGCGGTTCCGTCTTGGAGGGAGCGGACCTGGGCGGGGTGGGAGGACAGAGAAGCTGCCTTGGAGGTGCTGTGCTGAACCGCCTGGGACGCGGGAGGTTGAGGGTCAGGGCTGGGGAGAGGGCTATAGGGACTGCGCCCTGGGTGATGGTTTCCTTAGGACGTGCAGCCCGAGTCCGCCTTGGGCTTCTGGGACAGGAGAGCTGCCTGGGAGCGCGGAGTAGACGATAGCTCAAGGTCCGGTCCTGCAAGCTAATGATGTCAGCTGAGGTGACCAGGACTGCAAGCTAATGATGGTCAGCTGACTGCCTGCTGCTGAGGTGGAGCTGAGCGCTCACTGAGCAGCTTTGGTGGGGAAGCATGCCTCACTAGCTGAGCCATTCTCACGTGGATGCTGTCAGATTCCTCAGGATCTTAGAGCAAGTGGGGTTTCTGACCCCTCCTGTACTCTGTCCTGCCTGGTGTAAGGGTCCCGAGGTCTTGATTGTGTTCGTTTTCTGTGCCCGTTAAAGAATTAAGAGAGGAAAAATGTGAGGCAAAGCAAAGGTCTCAGATGGGAAATTCTGGAAAACCACAGACAGATCTGCCAGACTCAACTGCTACAGAAAAGCTTTGACTAGTGCTGGGAGAGCAAACATGAGGCCCCCACACACAGAGGGACCCTCTGCAGGGAGAAGGGACTGGAGAAGCTGACTCCAAGCCTCACCTTGAGGGCTGTATGGTCTTAAATCTCTGAGAGGTCCTCCATCCCTAATGTAGGGTGGACCACAGTGGTTTTGTCAATGTCTTCTTCTGGCCTTGAGCTGTTGAGGTAGTCCATGAGCAGGGTCCTAGGAACAGGTGAAAAGTTCTCATGGCCTTGTGAGCCCAGGGTTCTGTGTTGGGTCAGGAGAGTGAGGAAGAACTCACAGACCTGTGTGTGTTCCTGTGATTTAAAGTATTTGTTGAGCTAGTCCGTTGAGCAGGGTCCCTAGGAACAGGTTCTGGAGTTAAAGATAGAAAAGGGGCACTATGGAACATGCCTCTGAGAAAAAAGCTGCTGAGGCCACACATGTGTCCGATGTGTTCCTGAATGGAGGCCTTGACAGGGCACTTCACAAAGATGCTGTGAAGGTGAAGCCTGGATTGCCTTGGAGATGCCAAAGTCATGTGACACCTGCTGAGGAAAGTTGCTAACAGGCAGGGGAACCAGCCCAAGAGAAAGAAGTGTGTTGCAGTCAGCAAAGCTGAAAGGGTTGGAGATCTGAGGAGCGTTTTGACATCAGACAGGGAGATGCAGAGTTTGGAGTTTGCACAGCTGTGGTCCAGCGTTTTCTCACTAATTGCCGTTCCCTGTGCTTTGGAACAGTAATGTATATCCTGTGTCACTATATGTTGGACCTGTTTGATCTGTCTTTTTATTTTGATTTTATAGGGGATTACAATTAAGAGATTACATGCACCTCAGAATAGACTGAACTTTAGACTTTTAAGTAAGTGTGAGACTGTTACAAACTATGGGACTTTTGAAGTTACACTGAATGAATTTTTGAATTATGATACAGTTACAAGTGTTTGGAGGCCAGGGAGTAGAATGTGGTGCTTTAAAAGAAAATGCCCTCCAAAGGGTGTGGCACTATTAGGAGGTGTGGCCTGTTGGAGTGGGTGTGGCCTTGCTTGAGGTAGTTTGTTGCTATGGAGGTGGGTTTTGTGTTCTCATACCTGTTCAAGGCACATCCACTGTCTCAGTTCCTTTCCAGTTGCCTGTATATCAAGTTCTAAACTCTCGGCCCCTTCACTACCATGGCTACTTGTGTGCCACCATGTCCTAACATGGTGATAATGGACTGAACCACTGAACTGTTTTCCTTTAAAACTGAAACCATTAAATGTTTTCCTTTAGGAGTTGCTGTGGTCATGATGTCTCTTCACAGTAATAGAAACCCTAACTTATACATAGGCC